TAATTTTAAAAAAGAACAAAATTCAAAAATGTGGAAGTCTCTGCCTGTTTTGTGTGCGGATATATTCCAATCACCTAGAACGGAATTGCACAAAGAGTAGTATAAACATTGAGTAAGAGTAAACTTTTCTTTCTGAATCATAATTAAAAGAATAAAGCTTAACTTCTCTTTTGAAGAGTGTTTATAATGATGGTGATTTAATTCCAGTTTAGATAGTTGAGGTGTACTTTGTTCTGATGAAAATGATTTAAAAATAATAGAAAGAAAATAGTGTTTAAGGCAAATTTTAGAAATTAGATATTAGCTAGAGTGGGACTGTGGAAAGAAATAATCAGTTATTTTAGCTGCTGCTTTATGTTCTTGAAGACAAGGTGAATTAATGGTCTCAACATTAAGATGATAATGAAATAAATTTCTCTAAGGATCAATAGTTCTCTGCTAAGGTAATTTGCATATAAATAAACAATTAATTTATCTGTTAAATTAAATAATAAGCTGAGAAAACAACAGGGAGTCTATCACATCTTTTGTTTGGTAACCTAATTTTCAGTTTAAAATAAAAAAGGATCAAAAAACCAGTCCTGTTCTTTTGCCCTTGCTTACACTTTTTTCACCTTGCATCGTGATGAATAGAACTTTATGTGTTAAAGATGACCTCGGACGTCTCCAGAATCTCTAAATTGAACACCCTCATTTGGTAGTAAAAGGAAACCACAGAGGTTTTGTGAGTTACTTACTACTGTAGAGCTGAAAATACAGAAAATATATTTTAGTCATACATTATATTATATATCACAACCTCTATGTTTTCAAATATAGTATCACACATTCTGTTGTGGGGTTTTAGTAACCAACATTGCTTAATTTTAGAATTTAGTATTAATTTTTTGTTCTAGCAGCCAGTATGTTTTGAATTTTCCTATTATAAACAACAAAAAAAACACTCTGCTATTTTTTAGATATCTAGACCACCATACAAGTATCTTTTTTTCACTTTCCTTCTAAGAAAAAAAAAATGCGGACTTTATTTTATTGAGGTTTGATCTACATAACTACTTATTTAATGTTGATATACAAAAAGCTCTTAGGGAAAAAAGAAAACAATTTACAAAGATTTTCTCTGGGCAACAGTATTATTAGATTCTCTTATTTATATTCCATCAAAGGGATGATGCTTCTTACACATTAGTAACAACAGCACAAAGAAATGGAAGGCAAGATAAGAATCATCACTTTTTGCAATGTTTATTGGCTTATGTTTTTATTTTGCTTAAACCTTATTTTTTTTTCACTTAGAAGTGTGCTATCATTCCTAGTTTAACTGTTAGTGACTATTTGATAAAGAAAGGTAATGGCTAAAATTTTTCCAGTAAAAAAAAAATTCAGCAATCTTGCTCCCTGAGTATTTTTAAAATTTCTTTTCTCGTGGTTTTATTGATATACTTGAAATTAGATATTTAAAATGTATTACATTTTAATCCTTTGGCAAAAAAAATAGATTAGCCACTTCAAATAGGAAAAATAATCTCATATCTTTAATTGTAACTTTATATTCTCATCTGGCATTTTGGGGTCAGAGTTCTTTTTCATTATTTAAATATATATTATATACATAATCACAGATGTAGTTAGAATTTGAATTTCTTAAAATCCATAGGATGCAATGTACCTCTTCTTTCCTCTTTTTCTTATTGACCTGAAATTGGAAATTTAACTTTATTTTTAGCATCTCTTTTAGCATGCTAACACGAGGGGTGGATTTTTTACCCACGTTTTGTACGGTTTGCATTTCACAAACTGATCAAGCATGAATTGCCTTTATTTTCTGCTATCTGCAAGAATGCTGCAAATTCAATAAAAGCAAATAGCTATATTAAATATGCAGACGGTTTGTAAGACTTTGATAAAAGACATTTGTGATGGACAGAGTCACTCCTGCCTCAACTGATTAATGATCAGGCTAATAACACTTCGTATTTCTCTGCATGGCTCATTTGAGAACCTTGGTACTTCTCTGTGATCAGTGCTGGGGGAGGGCAGTGCCTCTTACTGAAACAAACAGAATGTCATTGTATGGCGTGTGATTTGGAGTAGAAACATAATTTGTTGGCTGTAATATTTAATCCCCAAGATGCCTTTAAAATACTTCAGGAAAGAATACAATTACTTGGAAATTCATTATTTGATACTTGTTTAGGGAAAATAAACACTGATCAAAAGGCTTAAATAATAGAGCAGTCAGTTGGAAGAAAGTTTACTACAGCCTTTTGGGAAAACATGTCATCTTCAGAAGAAAGACACTGGTGATTCAAGTTTTTCATATTCTCTTGCCAACATACTTAGTATCACATGCTTTCTTTCGCAGGGCTTCAATTCCCATTTTACTCTGCATTATTTTCTAAAGGACTGTTTCTCATGCTTTGCTTTTTTCCCTCAAGAGCTTGGAGATAAAGCTTAAGTGCCTTAGTAGTACTTTCGGAGGAGATGAGATGAAAACATATTCCTGTTAAGCTATGTGCCCGTGTCTCCACGCTATTTGTCCTTTTCTGTTCATACAGTTATAAAGTCTTTCACCAGATTTCCTAATATAGAAATTGGTGTTATTCATTTTCAGTGTCCTGGAAAGTTTTAGTTAAGAAGGCAACTACTCAAGGGCACCTGGGTGACTCAGTCGGTTGAGTGTCCAACTCTTGATATTGGCTCAGGTCATGATCCCAGGGTTGTGATCCCAGGTCATGATCCCAGGGTTGTGAATTGAGCCACGCATTGGGCTCCACACTGAGTGTGGAGATTGCTTAAGATTCTCTCTCTCTCTCCTGGCGCACCTGGGTGGCACAGTAGGGTAAGTGTCTGACTTCAGCTCAGGTCACGATCTCACAGTTTCTGGGTTTGAGCCCTGCATTGGGCTTGCAAAATTGTGGTATTTAAAATTTTGTTATATGTGCACATTAACTAGCAGCTAGATCCAGATTCAGATTCTGTGTCTCCCTCTCTCTCTGCCCCTCCCCTGCTCACACTCTGTCTCTCCTTCTCTAAAAAAACCAACCAAACAAAAAAGGAATCTACTCAGTACTAAAGTCGAAATTTAAAAAGCATCATGAATAACTGAACTAATCCTTAGTGAGTTAAAAAAAAGTAAACAAACCAATAAATCCCTAATTTCATCTTCAGATACTGACCATAAAGGATATTTTGAAATCTTCAAAACAGAGCCCCAAACTAAAATCAGCTTCTGCACCAGACTGAATTTGTTTGAGCCCAGTTTTAGCACATTCTCTCTGCCAGCTCTTCAAACCCTTTTTCCTGTGCCCACTGTTCATAAGCTAATCTCTGGTTGTCCAGAACATTCCACGTGGAATCCACCTCATTCTTGTTCTCTTTGGCAAGATGCCATGATCCAATGTTTCCAGACTTTATCACAACGAAATCTATCAGGCTTATGTTTGATTCTCTCAAGATCTTTTCATGAGGAACTAGCTAGCCGTCCTGGGAAATGCATTTACACTGATACAAAAAAGGATGACAATTTTATCATGTGCTGTGGTCAGTAGGCATTGTGAGAGTCACAGTACCTAAAATCAATGGTTTCCGAATATTTATTTTTTAAAAATTATTCTTAGCTAGTGATAAAACTCTGTTGTCAAATACAGTTTATACAAAACAGATCCAAGTGAAGATGCTCAGTTTGCAGTGGAGGGATGAGATCAGGGGCACTCTGCCTTTCCCTCCTACTTGCTGTCTGAGTGGCTCCAGAGCATCTCTGAGGAATTTCTACAGTTCCCAACAGTCTACAGACCATCCTATTAAGGCAGTGGAGTAGCTAATGGGAGAACTTTAGGTATATGGTTCGCACCTTTAGATCAGTACTTTTCAAGGGGGGGAGGGTGTCCCCCCCCAGGGATGTTTGGTAATATCCGAAGACATTTTTTTGGTTGTCATAACTTGGGGAAGCAGAACAGGATGCTTCTGGAATCCAGTGTGTAATAGACAGGGATGTTGTTAAATACCCTACCTACCATGTACAGGACAGCCACCCACACAGAAAGTTTTTCAGTCTAAAATGTCAAATAGTGCTGAGGTTGAGAAAGTCTGCTCTAAAGAGAGTAGGGCATCAGGAACTGCTAGGGGAGGGTGGGTTGGTCTTGCTGCAGAGGAAAGAAGACTCCAGCCCCTGGAGCCAGAGCCTTAACTACCTAGCAACCAAGGCTTGCCCAGGGCTGGGAAAGGTAGAGAAGACAAAAGCCTTGCAAAATTGTGGTATTTAAAATTTTGTTATATTTGCATATTAACTAGCAGCTAGATCCAAACAAATAAGCTTAGCACTTAGCAAAATTATTAAATAGAAAGCTACAGAGTAAGAACAACAAACTTGCACCTCATGAATTCCAAAGGTGAGGGTTTCCTGGCCAGAGGTGCCCCAGCTGAGGCTCCAGAGATGGCCCTGGTCCCGCCCAGTGTCCGGGGAGCAGAGCAGAGGCCAGGTGCCTCCACAGCACGCTTCCTCGGGGTCCAAGCCCCTGTCACCCCTCCTCAAGTGTGTCAGCATATCTGCTGTAGCCACTTGCCAGCCTGTAGGTTCAGAGAGGGGACCTCTTGGAGGGAAATCCCATCTAATTTCAAACCTATTGTGGAGAAGGCGGTTCTTGCACCTGCTCCAGACCCTCACACCAAGGAAATGCTCTCTAATCCAGATGCCTCATGCTGGGGCCTATGCTGACTTCGGTCTCAGTCACTGCCCGGCCTCGTAGTCAAAAAGGAGATCATTTTGAAACTGTAAAAGATAACCCAAATAGCTCATTACAATTATTAACTGGCTAAGGGCCTTTGCTCAGTTCCAAATTCCTAAACAGGCTTCATTTAAAGGCCCCAGAGGCACCAAGTGACAGTTTTAACGCGGGTCATCAGTTCGAAAGCACTGGAGAGTCTAAGAGGAAACATACAATAAGTCCCCCACCCCACCCCCGCCGTCATTATGTAGAAAAGAGAGAGAAAATCCCCTCCTCACCCCGCGGGCCCCTTTTGTGTTGTTCTTGCCAACGCAGCAGCCCTCGTGCTATATAGACCCGCGCGCCGGCGGCCCATCACTGACCTCCATCCACCAGCCATGGGGAAGGTGAGCCCAGCGCAGCCGCAGGCCGGGAGGGGCCCCCGCGCCCCGGGGCTGGGGGCCAGGCCTCTGAGCCTTTCCTCCCCTTGCCTTGCAGATCACCTTCTACGAGGACCGGGGCTTCCAGGGCCGCCACTACGAGTGCAGCAGTGACCACCCGAACCTGCAGCCCTATTTCAGCCGCTGCAACTCCATCCGCGTGGACAGCGGCTGCTGGATGCTCTACGAGCAGCCCAACTACTCGGGCTGCCAGTACTTCCTGCGGCGCGGGGACTACCCGGACTACCAGCAGTGGATGGGCCTCAGCGACTCGGTCCGCTCCTGCCGCCTCATCCCCCACGTGAGTCCAGCCCCGCGGGCCCCGGAGCCACATGGGTGCTCCAGAGGCGGCATTCGTCGTGCAGGGTGGCGGCCTCCTTTGGCTGCCTCTCGCCAGGGTCTCCTCTCCTTTGCCAACATCGATGGCTAAGCTTTCCTTCCACTGCAGAAGTATGCGAGGGGACGCTTCTCTTTTAAAAGTTCATTCTGCTCTGCTACAAGCAAACTCACCTCTACTGGGACAAAGTAGGGCACCTGGTCCCTTCAGAGAGTCTATGCCCCCGGCGGTGAATAAGCAGCACGTTAGCACCTTTGCATCAGGTGGCCTGGGCTACTTCCTGGGGCTCTCTCTCTCTCTCCTTCTGTAGAATGGGGCTCGTGAAGGCGGCTAGCTCACAGGGCCGGCACGAGGGTGACAGGTGGGCACCTGGCAAGCCTCCCCTCCCCCAGCCACCACTGTTAGCATGAGCCTCCGGCCCTGCTTCCCGATCAGGCAAAACAAGTGGCCGACAGTGTGATTCCAGCCGCTCCGGCAAAGCCCGCCGTTACCCAAATAAAGCCCCAGCGGCCTGGAATTCTGCAGTTAGGGATTCCCTAACCTGACTGCGACCCAGTCCTGTGGAAAAGGTACCGCTCCGGCCACGTCCGAAACCCCCTCGGAGGGTTTAGCGCCTTGATAAGACCCAGCCCGGCACGAGGAGCCTGAAAACCTGGGTTTCCACGTGCCTGCCCCGACCTTCCACGTGACACGCTGAGAGCTCTAGTCACGAGCTTCTCCTAAAAGAAGAAACAGGTGTGGGGCTGTTGTGGCGACCAAATCACGTGGTGTACACGTGGGTCCTTGACGACCATGGAAGATTCCTCACTAGCAGCCCTTAATGCTGCAGGATATTGGTCGGGAGAATTTCCTGTTTATTACCTAAAGCAGATTTGCAGGAGCATATCCTAGAGCTGAGAATTGAAGCTAATCTTTGTGATGGCTCTTGCTTTTCAGGATCTTAGAGAAGCAGGGCTTAAAGGAGAAGGGAAGGGTCTAAGGATTGCCTGGACTGGACTCTCTTCTTGAATTGCCACCAGTCTGTGACTTCCCCTGAAGGAAAAGCAACTTGACTTCTTTTCCCACTAGCTTCTTCTAATACTGTTGAGATTCAAAATTATAACTTTTTTTTCCAGGGATCATTTTTAAAATTTTATTTAAATAAATATATATAAATTATTACTTATATATAAATAGTATATAGTATATAAATTTATAATATATGAATAATAAATTTAATTAATAAATTTAATAAATATATAAAATAAATTTAAAATGTATATGATATATATAAAATATACATAAATTATTACTTAAGAATGATACTAACTAAGGGTGCCTAGGTGGCTCAGTCAGTTGAGCATCCGACTTCGGCTCAGGTCAGTGGGTTCGAGCCCCGTGTTGGGCTCTGTGCTGATAGCTCGGAGTCTGAAGTCTACTTTGGATTCTGTGTCTCCGTCTCTCCCTCTGCCCCTTCCCCACTCAGGCTCTGTCACTCTCTTTCAGAAATAAATAAACATTAAAAAAAAAAAAAAGAATGAAACTACCTAGGGCCAGTATGTATGGTTCATATAGGTTGTGGTCTTAGTTCTAGGGAGCACCATGCTCTCTTTACGCGAATGACACCTTCTTCAGGTCTGCAGTATACAGTCTATTCAATTGCACACAGCTGCCCTGGTGTTGGCTATCTTTAAAATTTGTCATCTTTGATGTAGAAAAGAGAAGGGAACGTCCAGTCCCTTGGGGGTTGTGTCCCTGGTTGCTAAAGGCTAGATTTTCTGACTTTTCCTCATCTGCTAATTGCTGAACCCACAGACCAGCTCCCACAGGATCAGGATTTATGAGCGAGAAGACTACAGGGGCCAGATGGTAGAGATCACCGAGGACTGCTCCTCGCTTCACGACCGCTTCCACTTCAGCGAGATCCACTCCTTCCAAGTGCTGGAGGGCTACTGGGTCCTCTACGAGATGCCCAACTACCGGGGGCGGCAGTACCTGCTGAGACCGGGGGACTACAGGCGCTACCACGACTGGGGGGCCACGAGTGCCCGAGTGGGCTCTTTGAGGAGAGCCATGGATTTCTACTGAAATATTTTTACTCTACCTTATTCTCCATCTGGAACCTAATAAAATATTTCCTGCGTGTTTGATGCAATCACGTCGTCCTCTTTTCCTTTTAGGCTCAGGAGAAAGAAAGCTGGGAATAATGTAAATTTGCTTATACTTACCAGCGGCAAGGCTAGTATGGGATAGCAGTTAAAAGAGCGGCCTCTGGGACCCAAATGCCTGGTCCAAAACCTTACTAGCTATAGGTGATGGGGCAAATTCCTTAGCATTTCTGGGCTTCGGTTTCCCAACTTGTAAAACTTGGGGTAATAACACTCTTCATCTCATAAGGTTGTGATGTGATTCCATGAGTTTTTATTTTATTTATTTTTTTTTAATTTTTTTTTTCAACGTTTATTTATTTTTGGGACAGAGAGAGACAGAGCACGAACGGGGGAGGGGCAGAGAGAGAGGGAGACACAGAATCGGAAACAGGCTCCAGGCTCCGAGCCATCAGCCCAGAGCCTGACGCAGGGCTCGAACTCACGGACCGCGAGATCGTGACCTGGCTGAAGTCGGACGCTTAACCGACTGCGCCACCCAGGCGCCCCTGCATATAGTAGTTTCTAAGAAGCTGTTCTGTAAGCTTGCTGGTGAAACATCTGGCCACCTTCTTGCTAGTCTTTCTTAGTAGAATTCACTTTTGGAGATTGCATTAAGTGGGACAGCTAAGTGAAGTTGCATCTGAGGGAGACAGAGATAGATAAGTTTGTTAAGGTAACTACATCTGACATGTCTTAGGTCTAAAAATATGTGACTCGGCTGAATAGATTTATTATTTATGTATCCAGAGCATAAATATAAGAACAAAGCGTCACCTAAATAAACAGCCCAAAGGACTCTTCCAGATATTTTTCTACTTACGGGAGGTACAAAGCCCTCAGGTATTATGCTCTGCTAAAATGAGCACAGAGTGACAAAGTAAAGGCAGAAGGTACACATGATCAGGAAAATGAAATGTAATGATGCAAAGTTCATAAACCTATTATTGGCCAAGCTGACATGGCCAATCTTCATTACATCTAATTCATGAGTCAGCATTTGATAATAATAATAATAACAGCACTAAGAAAGAAAAAAAAGAAACTTATGGACACTATTCATTTAATTAAGTTCAACATTTCTTTGCAGGCAGATGAATTTCCTCAAATGAAATCTAAGTAGGTATTCTATTACAGTACTTCTCAATTTCAGACGTTTACATGTAATTGAGAAAAAAACCAAATTTCTTTCCAGTTAGGGGTTTGCCTTAATTGTGAGAATGGCAACCTATTGTTGAAATAGGGTCTTGGTGAGCTGAGCGGCCACAATTATGAAGGAACCATTGAAAATGATTTTCTACTTGGAGAAAAAAAAAAAGAAGGGAATATGTTCAGCTAGGAAATACATTGCTTCTCAAACCTCCAACATTAGAGGAATAACGTAGTCATACTCTTTTTTTTTTTAACGTATATTTATTATTAAGAGACAGAGCGTGAACAGGGGAGGGGCAGAGAGAGAGGGAGACACAGAATTGGAAGCAGGCTCCAGGCTCTGAGCTGTCAGCACAGAGCCCGATGCGGGGCTGGGACTCACAAACCACAAGATCATGACCTGAGTCGAAGTCGACGCTTAACCAACTGAGCCACCCAGGCGCCCCTGTAGTCATATTCTTTATGCATTTTACTTCCCTAACACACATGCACGCTCCTAGGTGTGTGAAGAAGCATTAAGAGCATTTAGATCTGCACTGCCCAAGGCAACAGCCGTCATCACATGACATTACCGGACCATTGAAATGAGATGAACCCAAGCAAAGTTGTCCTAAGTATAAAACACACACCAGATGTCAAAGGCTTGTACAAAAGGTAGAGTGCCAAAGATCTCATTATTTTTCATATGAATTTAAATGAAATTATAGTATTTTTATATATTCACTTAAATGAAATCTATTATTAAGCTAATTTTACCCGTTTCTTTCAATCATTTTCATGAAAATTTGAGATTCCATTTGTGTTTCTCATTCTGTGCCTATTGATCAGACACCCAGGCTGAAGGATGAGTTGTAATTTGTATTCAGATACAGCTCAGCCTGAATACTGAATTATATAAAACCTGAAAATGAAAAGGTGGCAGAGGTCATGTTTGAGTTTTATATAGTCATCAAACATCCCTTCCGTTATGAGGAGGTACTCGGTGAAGTTATCATGGTCACCTGCCACGGACTGAGGCAGTGAGGGAATGGGTCCCTGCCTTGTCTCATCACATGGATTTTCCACTAACTACACTGAAGTTACAACAACAAATAGGAATGATCCTCCACTCTAGAGGGCAAGCTCCTTCTTTCCTCAGCTAGTTTTTCCTATCCCTTTCCCTGTTCAGTGGTGGCCATTCAATTACAACGTTTTTGTTCTGGAAGCTGACATGATTGCCTCCCCTACCAAATTTAAAACTTCTAGAGCTAGGGATAATATCTCAAGCACATTTATATCTTCTGAAGGATCTAGCAGAGTGTGCCTAATACAAAGCAGGTCCAGTGATGTTGAATGAACACATTCAAAAAAGGAGAAAGTATATGTGAGTCCGTGGTTTCTGAAGATTGGATAAAAGAGTTTAATACGTTCTTTTCTGGAAACAGTACCTTGACCTAAGTGAGGTAAAAGGGGTAAGTCTAAATGCCTTGGGTGGCCAAGAAGGTAATGGGAATGTGAGAAGCTGTTGGTAGATACTAATAGGGTGGTGAGGTTTATGACTAACTGGAAAGTACGCGTCCTACTTAACAGCATTATGACTCAACAAGTTTAAAACAGTTGGAAAATACGATCCATCTGAACCTAAGGGCTGCTCCTTTGCCACCTCTGCACAGACACAATCTACTTTAAAAAGAATGCTTTAGGCAAAAAGAGACAGGTTTTCATACAGGACAGTTTTTGGGAACCAGACCTTTAAATCCCACCCAGTCTGGTGGCCATGGGACATCCCTTCACATAGCTCATTTCTCATGTGTTCAACTCATTATCCACAGAGACCAAATAGAACCATGTCCTCCAAGTTAAAAGGAAATTTTTCAGGGCACCTGGGTATCTCGGTTGGTTAAATGTCCAACTCTTGGTTTCGGCTCAGGTCATGATTTCACGGCTTGTGAGATCGAGACCTGAGTCGGGTTCTCCGCTGATAGCTGCTTGGGATTTCTTACTCTCTCCCTCTCTCTCTGTCCCTAGCCAGGTTGCTCTCTCTCTGTCTGTCTCTCAAAAAATAAATAAACATTAAAAAAAATTTAAAGCAAAACTTTCCACTAAGAGCTATAGGCAGACAGGCAGGATATGGCCACTTACCAGCCTGAAGCTGGGCTACTCCCTCAATGCACTTTCTTACATAGCCTTGTTCAGCCTGCAGTTTACATTCTCACATGATGGTAGCAGAAAACACTTCAGTTATCTTTTCTCTGTGGGCCTTCTGTTTATCTCCACCCTGTTTCATGAAGGAAAACAGAATTGTCATTTCCCCGTTGAGCCCATTAGTAACAGGAAGTGAATTCATGCTGGAGTTTCCAAAGATCTGCCCCATTGTGCCACATTCTCTACCCTCCTGGCCTCTCAGCCTCTGCTGTTCTTCTCCCTGTACGGCATCAAAAAAGAGCCTGCAGCTTTCAGCACCACTGAGGTATAATTTTACATTCTCATTTTTTACTTTCCTCCCAGTATTGCTGAAAATAGTTTGCATCCTTGAGTCAGCTTTTCACTTTTGTAAGACGCATATGAGGAGAAGAAAATTGTCTTGTGCCACATGTTCACACTAAACTTTTGTCTTGCAGTGGGACATAAAATGGGGAGATGTGCTCAAGGTCAAGGTGGGGAGTTGATCATCTGAACAGAGCGGTCGTGAAAAGTCCTTGATGATTACATCCAGTGCTATAGACTTGGGAGATATCTTCATGGAGATGATGGGCGAACCCATAGAATTGTCTGACATATACAAGAACAGTGTAGGAGAGATGAAGGAGCCCAGATGAGAGAAATTCCTAGTAAGCTGGTGAAAAACAAATTGCTTAAGACAATGAGTTAAAAGAAACCAGTTGGAAATCAAGATTGCCAGTACTGCTTTACTCAACCGTTTGAAAATTTGTTAAACCAAGGATTAGGTTTCACACTTTTATGCTTTAAAATAACTTTTGTCTGTTCTTCGAGATTTTTTTAGTTTTTTTTTTAATTTTAATTTCAAATTCATTTTCATTCAATCATGGCTGCCCTGAATTATTTATAAGAGAGACACATTTTAGGTAATATGCAGACCAACAGTAAAGTATTGTCTAAGTGATGACTATACATTTATAAATTAAAAACTATGGAGTCATTTAAAAATATTGTATAAAATGGATCTTACAGTCAAAGATAAATCTTTTTTTTTTTAATTTTTTTTTCAACGTTTATTTATTTTTGGGACAGAGAGAGACAGAGCATGAACGGGAGAGGGGCAGAGAGAGAGGGAGACACAGAATCAGAAACAGGCTCCAGGCTCTGAGCCATCAGCCCAGAGCCTGACGCGGGGCTCGAACTCAGGGACCGCGAGATCGTGACCTGGCTGAAGTCGGACGCTTAACCGACTGCGCCACCCAGGCGCCCCAAAGATAAATCTTTAAAATACAATTCGATATATTACAATTACGTGTGTTTTCACACAAATGTGTATAGAAATTGATCTGAAATTATATATGCATATATGTGTGTATAGAAGGAAATCTGACCAAAATATACCACATGATATTAAAGTGGTTGTCTCCATATAGATGAGATTACGTATGTCTTATTTTGTCAGTTTACTTGTATATAGTTTCTGATTCTTCTCTTAAATTATTCATTGTTTGTACAAAAAATGAAGCAAATCAAATAAACTGAAGGAGAGAAACAATCAAACTCTAAAAGAAAAAAAAAAGATTTTTAATACATCTCTTAACTTTTCAAACGCTGTTGACATTGTTATAGATTTTATAGAAAGCATGAAAAATCACTGTCTAAAATATATTTATCTTTGACTTTATCCTGGCCAGATCAGTACCTTAGCCATTTCTGAACAGGATCACTTGCTAGTACTTAGGGGAAGAAGCATATTTTACAGAAGTTGTAATGATGAGAAAAACAGCAATCTGCTAAAAAGGTAAAAGTGGAACGTAAGAAAGAGGAGTGGAACCTCCTGGAAGCCACTGTCACTGATGCTGGAATGTCCCTCTATCTATTTCCATTTCCCTCTATTTATTCACTCTACTTTTCCAACTACTGGGAAAATAATCAGATAAGATGGAGTCCAGTTTGACAGTCCCTGAAACTGGAATCTAGTCTGGGAGGAAGCATAATTAAACAAGAGGGACCTAGATGCTTCTAACTTATCAGTGGTCCTGACATATCTATAAGATTTTGAATAAGTTCTTGTTCCAAATATGGGATGACAGCGAAATCCTGTATTTCAGTTATAGAGGAGTTCAAAGAGAGATTTTTTTTTCCCTTCAAAATGCAGGCTCTGATATTTTGCAGAAATAGTTGAAAATGTTTGTCAAATAGCTGGATGAGAATAGCTATATGTGGAATATAATGTGAAAAATAAAACCCAGAGAACCTAACTATTCATTAACATGCCCAGCCAAAAGCCTGGACATTGCATACTGTTCTATTTGAATGAATGTTGATAGATCAAAGGCAAAGAAAACGCCATATCAAAAAGGGACTTTTTTTTTTTTTTCAAATTATATGCCGGTCTTCAAAACTCAATTCAAGTATGTTTTTGACAAGATGAGGGCAACGGAAAGTTTCTGTTTGTTCTGCAATGCAATTATTTTCACCCAGCCACATTTGTAGCAATAAAGAAAGATGCTATCAGGCTGACTGACTGAAGGAATTCTCCGCAGTGGAGGAAACTAGAGTTTTGATAAAAGACTCTGAGTAACAAAGTGATAAACTGTACACAGCCCCGAAAAGGTAAAGAGTTACTTTAGTAAGAGTTACGTGTACTGATTAGTCTCATGAAGAACCTTTACTCTAGCCAGGAGAGGAGCTCAGGGTCATACTTACTAATTAAATGGAAAGAGAAAAACTGAAAACTTTGATTCATAACAAATACACATTGATAGTAGTTCAGCCTTACAAGTAGTGTGCATTTCACCCAAGAGGACCACGCGCAATACATAGCTATTGGTTATGTTCACTCACAAGCTTATGCCAGATGTGAGCCAAATGAAACCTGCTATCAGATCACAGAGGGAAATAAGAGAATGCAGAAAAAAGTATGTCTGTCTGCAGGATTCAGAGTTTGTTTTCTATTTTGTTGTCCACATATCTCCTTTGTGAAAATGTAGGCAGTGGAGCACTTTGGAAACTAATTTCCCAGAGAGTCTCAGGCTACATGCCCACCACCCTCGGAACACACATTATCGGAGGACAAGACATCACATATTCCTCAATTTATATAAAAATGTGTGCCTTGCCCATGTTCTTGTCTTTAATTGTGCCCTTGTGCCTTGTATTTTTTTAAATGGCACTCCTAATTACTAATAGCTTAGCTCCAGTAAGAACACGTCCACGTTAGTCTAACGGGTTTTAGTGCAAGTTGTTTCGTGACATAGTGAATTGGGGATGGTCTTGGAGTCAAAGCATTGGCATTGGCTTCTTGCTCTTCCAGGCACAGACGTGTGCCTTTGGGCATACTATCAAACCTTTAAAAGTCTTGATTATTTTGTCTGTCAAGTAGAGAGAGTGAACTATTGCATTGTATTTGCCTTGCACAGTGCCAAGTGCAGACTGGGTGTTCAATGACTGTGCTTGTCTTTTCCTTTCCTCACCAAAACTGATGGCTCTATTTGCCTGGTAATTCATGGTGGAACACTTTGCTTTGTTGAAGATAGTAGGAAAAGCATGAATTTCAGTCAAATGGAGGTATAAAGAAAAATGAAAATACTACCTATCTGACACGTAATAAGTGCCAGTTTGATTTTCTTTCTTTTCTTATATTAAAGGGACTGTATTTGAGATTAAAGTTGACAATATTAGATTTACAAATTATACCAATCTAATCTTTCCGCTATTGGATTGGTTTTATCCAGTGAGTTGCCATCACTAAACAACAAAACAATAGAGCAATAAGTTAGAACAGAAACTCTTGGTTCCCTGACTTCCAATGTCTCTGTTACATATTGACGAGATTACACTTAATGCCTTCCAATGCTTCCTCTGTCTCTGTCCCTCCCCTGCTTGTGCTCTCTCTCTCTCTCTCTCTCTCTCTCCCTCTCAAAATAAATAAATAAACCTTAAAAAAATTTAAAAAACATTATACTCAATGACTTCCTACACTAACTCCATTAGTAAATTAGGTCAGTCTATAAAATATTCACAGGACAATCAGGGTTTATCATCCTTTTGTAAGCTTTTCCTATTCTGAAACTGTTTTTCCTTTGAAACTCATCAATGGAGAAAGGGAGTGTCCCAGGAACAGGACGGTGAACTTCTGAACTGAAATCTGCTCTGATTTGAGGAATAATAAATAAAGAAGTAAGTAAGTAAGTAAGTAAATAAATAAATAAATAAATAAATAAATAATTTTGTCTTCTTTGCTTCAGGATGTATTATGTTAGATCTCTCTTGTTTGCAGGGGATGGGTTCCCTCTCACCCCCAGTGGATGCCCAAAAGTGGATAGCACCAAACCCTATATATATTATGTGTTTTTCCTATACTTATACACCTATGTTAAAGTTTAATTTATAAATTAGGCACAGAAGAGATTAAAATAATAACTAAAATAATATAGCGCGATCATAACTACGTACTGTTAAAAAACTTACATGAATGTGGTCTTTCTCTCTCTGAAGATATCTTATTGTGCTGCGCTCACCCTTCTTCTTGGGTCGATGTGAGACAATACAATGCCAATGTGGTGAGATGAAGTGAGGGGAATGATGTAGGCATGGCACGGATCATCAGGCTACTATTGACCTTCTGACATATTGTCAGATCATCTGCTTCTAAACTGTGGTTGACCTTGGGTAACTGAGGCCCTGGATAAAGGGAGACTACTGTATTTCCAGTCGGTGCATGGTGATATGAAACAAGTGCTCGTGTGAACTGGAAGCTTCATTTTTAAGAACCAGAAAATAAACCGGATAAGAGAATGCTCGTCCAGAATGGGCATCAGTGCTGACTGAATGCGGAGAAACGAGACTTACTCAGAGGTTTTTGGTATTCAAAAAAAAAAAAAAAAAATCACTCAGTGTTCTCAGGATTCTCAAATTCCGTCCCAGTGTCCCTTGTCAGGAATCATCAGAATTAAGAAAAAGAAGTGACAAGATGAGGGTCTGCCCCTTCTTTCATCTGATTCATTTATTTATCCTCATTTTATCATAGTGTTCCAAAAGGTGAAAGATGGTCACTCGTGAGAACAAGGTTTTGATATTACAGGCTCAGTAATGATACTGCTGATAATGATTATAGTACCGGGGCGCCTGGGTGGCGCAGTCGGTTAAGCGTCCGACTTCAGCCAGGTCACGATCTCGCGGTCGTGAGTTCGAGCCCCGCGTCGGGCTCTGGGCTGATGGCTCAGAGCCTGGAGCCTGTTTCCGATTCTGTGTCTCCCTCTCTCTCTGCCCCTCGCCCATTCATGCTCTGTCTCTCTCTGTCCCAAAAATAAATAAACGTTGGAAAAAAAATTAAAAAAAATGATTATAGTACAAAAATAATAATTCAAATGATTATATTGTTACTAACTTTAAGGACCATAATGCACATGCAGTTAATGGATTCAACTCCTATTTCCATTTCATCTCTCCCTTCCCTCCTGGATGATGCATCACAGTACTGTTTCCACCAGACCCAAGCTCAAAATTGAAATCGGGTAAGTGGTGGTTCCTTTGAATATTTTCTGAAATTGAAATCTAATTACTTCTAGAGTGCTACTTCTGAGTTACCATGTTTTACCCGGGCAAGGTTTTATTCACATTATCAGTCAAATGTTAAAAGGAGAAAACAACATTACCACGGGGATCATTTTTCCTTGTATTTCCTGTCAGTCACTCTCTCGTCTTCTCCGAGTTTCCTGACCGTGTGGTGTGGATGTGGACCAACCACTGTTGACTGCATATCTACCATCTATTCTTCCTTCTCTTGGAAAATCCAAATTGTGCTCGAGTGTTCAGCCTTCTCCATGTGCTCTGTGATTCTCAGGGGAGGCAACCCCAGCCCCAGCTCAGAAGTGGTTACGAATTCTAAACCAATTGTGTTAATCCTGCCTGCCCATCCAATTAAGGAATTCAGCTTTAAGCCAGACAGATCAAGACATTCTCCTGACGACTGATATCAGATGAGAGTTGACATATGACCTAACCTGGCTTCCCCATACTGAAGAAAGGCCAGTCGTTACATGTTGGAGTCAAAGCTTTCTCTTTGTCCTGCTGGGTTACTTTACCTATCTGGAAACGTCATGGGTAGGTTTGCAGTACTTAAAAAAGTCCAGAAACAACCTCATTTTAGTAAAGCCAATTCATGGGGGAAGGCAGAGCCAAGGAAATTGCAGAGAAGCCAGAATCCCATTTTGACCATGCTTGGAGACTGTCCTCTCTTTAAACCTCCTATTATGTGAAATACTAAATATCTTTATAGTTTAAGCTAATTTGAGATGGAGTTTCCATTACAAGTAGCCCAAAGCATCGTAACGGAGGCAGGGAAGAACTCACTGTACCTGGAGCTCCTGAGGAGGCCCTCCTGGACTTAATCCGATTACATTTTTCCAAACTCCACACTTGGTGGCTGAGATTTGGGCACATGACCAGGTCTGTCCCATCAGGGTGGAAGAGCTTCAGATCTGCAAGTGGAAAATTTGGAGGAACTGAACTTTCTTTTGATTCCCCAGTGGATAAGAATGAGACCGGATATGGCTCTGGTATCTACACTAAACCAGTGAGCTTCCTCTTCCCTTATGCCATTTTAGATTGAATTTTCTGTGCCTTACAACTGAAAGCATCCTACATGAGAGTTAAGCCTCTAAAAAAACACCAGTGTGGGTATATTTCTATTGGAGTTTTCATTTTTTTGTGCATGATCTACATTCGACGACTGCAATTATTTTTCAAAAGGATTTGCAGGTTTGAAAGGGCCAGAAACCCACTCATTTAACGTTTATTTTTGCGACAGAGAGACATAGAGCATGAATGGGGGAGGGTCAGAGAGAGAGGGAGACACAGAATCTGAAACAGGCTTCAGGCTCTGAGCTGTCAGCACAGAGCCCGATGCAGGGCTCGAACTGCGAAATCGTGACCTGAGCTGAAGTCGGACACTTAGCCGACTGAGCCACCCAGGCGCCCCCAGAAACCTACCCATTAAAAAATAAGAAAAATAAATCTTCAACTGGGAAATTAAGCCAATGTGAAGACAACATATCTTTTCCTTTAAAAAGTTTATAGTCGGTGGAGAACCGGTATTAGAGTTCCTCCCCTTATGCAATTCACGCACAGAGAATGGCAGATTGGTCAGCTGCTGTTTTCCAAGAGGCCATGAGACAAGCTGCAGAACAAAAGAGATCATCTTCATTAAAACTGCCGTGGTGTGTTTTCACTTGTCTCAGGCCAGGCACAAACACTCCATGTTCCACGTTAGGAAAATAACGAAAGTTGATGCCTCCACCACTTTTACCTGCATAATAACACAACTCGTACTTTAAACACATAGTTAAACACTAACATTAGTGCCAGAGTTTTCAATGTGGTCCTGCTGAGGAGTTATTCACATTGCTATGGCTCAGGAAAATTTGGGGGCTTATTCTTGTTTTGAAACCCTGCTATAGCATTCGACATATTCTTTCGACAATTGTCCGTGACAGCAAATCTCCTATTAAGTGTGGAAGCAGCTTGTGCATCAGCACCAGTGATGTAGCAGGACGAATTAGGTGAGGGATTCAACCAGCAAGGCAGCTTTTGATCAAAACAATGAAGTGAGGTTATGAAAAACCTAGGCACGCAAGCAAGTGCAGAATATTTTTGCCTCTGATTTCAGCGGGACCATGAAAAATACCTGCTACCATCTTCAGAAAAACAGAAAAATGTTCAACGAGTCAACCAAAATTTTCCTAGAATACTAGTCTACTATGAGAATGTATTCCCCCGGTGAGAAGAGCATTTTCCTCTTTTAGAATGTTCTCTGAGCATGCAAACATCTCTGGGTGGGACAGATGGAGGAAAAGCTGCTGATCTAATACTTAATCAAAAATAATACGAATGTGGTGGGGTACGGGCCCCTGGGTGGCTCAGTCGGCTAAGCATCAAACTCCTGGTTTTGGTTTCAGTCATGATCTGATGGCTTCATGGGTTCGAGCTCCACATCAGGCTCTGCACTGGCAGTGTGGAACCTGCTTAGGATTCTCTCTCTCCCTCTCCCTGCCCCTACCCCACTCACACTGTCTCTGTCTCTCTCAAAATAAATAAACTTAAAAAAAAAAAAAAAAAACAACATGGTGGGGAAAGTGGGAACTGGAAGAGATAGTGTTAAATCCATGGTTATTGAAAGGGGCAGAGAGGATGTTGACTTGAAACAACAATCTGTATCTCCTGTGAAGTCCTGCCTAGGCCTTACCTATGGGATAGGGAAAGAATGGGTACTGTGTGATGTTCCCATATCACAAAAGGCCCCGGCAGGTATTGGGGAAGAGATACTGCCCCAGGTCCTATGAATGATAGAATTTATTGCATCTCACTTTCAGTAATTCAAAAGCTTCACCCACCCATTACCTTCTCACACTCTGAAAGACTTTATGACTTCTTTGTGTTGGTGAAGACAGTTGGACCTCGATGATTTCACACACCCCAGGTAGCTTTAGACTTCATTCTCAGGGACACTGCTCACTTTCCATGGCATGAAGAGAACAAAAAGTGACTTTTAATAGATAAAGAACTGTAAGTACCTTTTTCATTTCTCCCAGTATTTTTATTTCAAAGTTTTGCCATGTCTGTTTCTGAAAGGAATGGAGATGACTTAGAGATTAAAATGGACAGGGAAACAAACCATTTACATCTAAAACAAACCAGATCCCATTTCAAGCTAACAAAATGCACTTTAGTTGAGTAGACCTAAAGCACTTTGCGACAGTGAAGTAACTATCTCCAAGTTCTCTGGCATCTACTGCAAATAGGGGAAGCATAATGGTCTGCATAGCTTTTATTTTCTGGCAATTTCAAGTGGGTCCATTCATCTCTAGATATAAATTTTTGCTTAGACTGAAACCTCAGGTTATATTTACCATGGGGACCCTTGTTTATAAACGGAGGGGAGGGACTTTGTGCTGGAAAATGTACAGCCAGGAGAAGGTGGCTTGATGGGAACAAGGGGATGGTTTCCTTCATCAAATAAAACCAACTCTGCTGAGAGTTACAGGACATGTAAACTTGGAAAAACATAGAGTAGCTACTACAATTCAATAATAAAAAGATAAATAACTGAAATAAAATAGGTAAAAGGATCTGAATAGATATTTCTCCAAAGAAGATATGAAAAGATATTCAACACTAGTAGCCATCAGGGAAATGCAAACCCAAACCCCCACGAAATAACACTTCATACTCACTTGGGTGGCTCTACAACAAACAAACAAACAAAGAAACAAACAAACAAAAAACGTAAGTGTTAGAGAGGACGTGGAGAAATTGGAACCCTCATACACTGCTGGTAGGAGCATAAATGGTACAGCCGCTCTGGAAAACAGTCTGGAAGTTTCTCAAATAGTTAAATGTTATATATTTACCCAAGAGAAATGAAAGCATATGTTCATATACAAACTTGTTTATAGCAGCATTATTCATAACAGCCTAAGATGGAAACAACACAAATGTCCACCAACTGATCAACAGACAGGCAGAATGTGATATATTCATACAGCGGAATATTATTCAACAATAAAAAGAAGTAAAGTACATGCCACAACATGGGTCAGCCTCAAAAGTATAGTGCTGAGCAAAGAAGCCAGTCATAGGAATTGCATACTGTACGGTTCCATTAATAGAAAATTTCCAGAATAGACAAAGCTACAAAGATAGGAAGTAAGTTGGTGGTTGCCTAGGGATAGGGTGAATGATTGGGTTGAATGTGAATTATATCTTAAAACATTTCAAAAACATAGAGGACGGCTTCAGGGTGTTGGGCTCACAATGTCACAGACAAAATAATCTTAGAATTTTTAAGCCTTTTTTTTTCTCTTGTTAAATTTCTTGCTCTACAATAAAATTTTATATTTGATGCTTTAACCAGGAAGTTGATGAAAAGATAATTTTTCTGAACAAAAGGATGTGCAGGACGTATAAGTGGTTTCCACAAAGTCCTATGCAATCAGTAACAGATGTGCAAACAGAAGCCTGGTTTTCTGACTTCAACCTAGGACTTGGTCTCTTAGCAACACAGCCCTTCAAATTGCTGGTTTCAAATACTCAAGCCCAGAAAATGGAATTGTATTAAACAGCAAGGAAATATGGTCACAGGGACGCGACTTCTATTTTATTCATTATTTAAGCTTATTTTATTAAAATTAATTGCCTATTTTATTCGATGAAAATAAAAATGTACAGATTTTGACCCCAGACCTTTAGAAAATACAGTACAAACAAGTCAGAGTTAATTCAAGCCAAAGTTAAAAGGAATCATTTCTCACCTCCAATTGTGATTTTTGAAAAGAGTGTCTCATTCTTCCTTGAAAGAGTGGTTTCTTAGAGAGAAGGCGCAATCCGTGGTTGAGGTCAATTTTTTCCCCTCTCACTCACTGATCTTCGAATTGTATTTAATGCTCAGTGTATTAGTGAGATGAAAAATACTGGTGAAAACTAGGAGTATAGAAAGAACAGAGTGTTCTAAGACAGAGTAGGAGGGGCTGAAAGTTAAAGAGGTCTTTTTGGCGACCCATTGAAACTCTTGTTTCAGTTGGCTCTGTCCTATTTAATAGCTCAAATCAAATGAATTCTTAATGCCATCTATGCCCTGCAGATGAAATGGAAAACTGTCTGCTTGAAAGGAATGCAGAAACACAAGCAGTTTCCTAAAAGTTCCCTGTGTTTGGTGTGCTGTACCATTAACTTCTTATTTTTCTTGTTCCTGTTAACATTTCTGTCATTTTACCTTCCCTTAAAGGCTTGGAGCTGTTTTAGACTTTTGGTCTCTCTGGTATCTACATGAGTTTCCTCTACAGAATAGGGACTCACAAATGTCTTAGTTGAAGGTGCTGATCTTCGTTTTGGTGACCATTTTTTATTTTCCTGCTTTCATGTTGTCGGCACGTAAAAATCCCACCTTTTCCAGACCCACATCTTTGTCTTCCTTATGCCTCTTCACCAAATGAATTACATTTCTAGGAATGAGGACTCACGTCCAGTCTGGGACCATGGTTAGGGTTTCATTAAAATCAACCTAAGAGAAGTACAGAGGTCGCCCTGTGGTTGTAGAGCTGGAATGCTCTGACTGATGACAGGTAACCAATAGGAGGGGCAGTCACTAAGGTTTCAGAAGAAATGCTGCACTTCAAATTATATTTGCTTACATGTTGTTTCAATTGGTTATGTCTTTGTTGGATGCTCACTTCACGGTTTGGCTGATCGACAATGTCAAATAGTGTTGGCCTCTGGCGACTGGAATGAAAAGGAAGCTATATGCAGCCTCTTCCCAACCCCAAATCTCTACCATTTGGTAAGGAGGTAAAATCTGGCTAAACATAAATATCGATTAGCAAGCAAAGAGAAGAAGGGGCCAATAACTGAGCCAGAGTAGAAATCAAGGCATGCCATTGGCAGGCAGTAAAGCCTCTCCCAGTTCCTATCTTTGGA